TTTTTTGGGGGAATATATTTGCGATCTCACACCTGCGTTACCTTTTCCTTCTTAGGAAGACATGAATTTAAATGAGGATCGAAAAGCTCCGTTAAGAGAAAAAGACTTGCGTATCAAAAAGGAGATGGTGTTGCAGTACACTAGTGCTGCTTCGAGGCAGGTAAGCAAGCGGAAGAGGGAGACCCCAGCATGCGCTAGTGCAGGGGTCTTCCAACTTGGCCCTTTTGTGACTTGTGGACTTCAACTCCCAGAATTCCTCAGCCAGCCTCCATTTTGTTTGTTAGATTTAAGACGGGTCTTCCAACTTGGCCCTTTTGTGACTTGTGGACTTCAACTCCCAGAATTCCTCAGCCAGCCTCCATTTTGTTTGTTAGATTTAAGACAGGGGGTCTTCAAACATGGTCCTTTTATGACTTGTGGACTTCAATTCCCAGAATTCCTTAACCAGCCTCCATTTTGTTTGTTAGATTTAAGACAGGCGTCTTCAAACTTGGGCCTTTTATGACTTGTGGACTACAATTCCCAGAATTCCTCAGCCAGCATGTCTGGCTGAGGAATTCTGGGAATAAGTCCACAAGTCATAAAAGGGCCAAGTTTGAAGACCCCTGCGCTAGTGAAAGAGACTGATAAAATTTAGAAGGGGAAAAAAAAAACATTTAATTCAGCTGATAGGTTTTTTTTTGCTGAGTACCCTGATGTTGGAGAAAGGGACAGCAGAGCCTGAGATGCTTAGATAGTGTCCTCGACACAGTGGACAAGAATTTGGGCAAAGTCCAGGAGACAATGGAGGATGGGGGGGGGCTGGCGTACTATGGTCCATGGGGTCACAAAGAGTCAGACACGACTTAGCGACTGAACAACAACAACAAAGTTTGCTGAGTTTAATTAGGAAGTCCAGTTCTGCAAATAAGTTCTGACATGGCATATATAATCCTCTTAAACCATTCTGTATTAGTGTATTAATCTGTCAAAGGTACTATTTTGAAGCATGCTTTCAAGATTGTATATAGGATGGGATGAGATAAAAATAGGAATAGAGTAGAATAGAATAAGAGAGTAGAATGGGATGGGGTGGGATGGGATAGGAGATAGGATAGAATAGAATAGAATGAATTTCAACAGAATAGAATAGAATAGAATGGCAATATGGATTGGAATGGAATGGAATGGAATAGAATAGAATAGAATAGAATAGAATAGAATACTTTATTTGGCCATGTGTGATTAGACTCACAAGGAATTTGTCTCCGGTGCATAAACTCTCAGTGTATACGCAAAACAAAGTAATATAATTATAATAATGATACCAATAAGAGAAGGTAGTCAAAAAGATGAGAATAATATTAATACATCCATTCTTCATGGGTAAATTGTCCATAGGCATAAGACAGCGCTGTGGTAATTAGGTGTTCAGCAGAGTGATAGCACAAGGGGGAAAAAACTCCCCGAGTCTAGTTTTTGCATGCAATGCCCTATAGCGGGTTCCTGAGGAGAGAAGTTGAAATATTTTCCTATTTCATAAAACATTTCATATTCAGCATAGGCCTATGCATAGGCTCCATATTCAACCTAGATCTATGCACTTGGCAGGTTCCAGATTGACTGGAATGGATGTGAACATTATTTATATTCTTTTCATAACGTGTGATTATCCTCTTTCAGGGAAGCCTCAAGAGTAGAAGGCAGATTTTCCCTCAGGAATTCATCGAGGAATTAAAATCTGGAACGGTGGATGAAAAACTTGCCAGCTGCCTCGAATCGCTTCGGGTTTCCTTGACTAGTAACCCTGTCAGGTAATGCAACAGTTCAACAAAACTTTGTAGGGGGGGAAGAAAAAAAAAAGCCGATTTCATGAAAGTTGATAGTTTTTTTTGCAAATGTCTTTCATGCGGCCTTTTATCAACCTTGTTGTAAGTTAAGTTGTAAAAGTTATATGAGTTATTTGTGAAAATTCATTACTGGCGATCATCACTTGTTTTAATACAGTTGTCCCAGGTGTCCTTGATTCCATTTCCGATCGTTTGAATTTGCAAGGGGCACAAATCACTTTTAGAAGTGAAGCCACATATGGAGATAGCCCTTGACTTATGAGCACAGTTCGGTTGCCAACCGTCATAAATACAAGTCAGTTGCCAAGCGTCTGAATTTTGATCACATGACCATGGAGACAACGGTTGTCAGTGTAAAAAACGGTCATATGTCACTTTTTTCATTGATGTAACTTTGAACAGTCCCTGAATGAACTGTTGCAAGTTGAGAATTACCTTTACAGAATTTAATTTTATTAAAATAGCTGGTCATTGACCAAGCCACATACAGAAATATAGGCTTGGTAGCTTCATATATCTCCCTGCATTCTGAAAACTAGATTTTTTGCAATAATCCAGGTAGTTCTTCTCAGGAGTTTATTACGGGTGCTATTGATGTGCTTCGTCTGGTTGCACATTCGTTTGTTCTTGAATTAATCTCCATATCATTATGATCTTGTCAGAGGTCTCTGGCACTAAAATTAGAACTTGATTAAATCAGTGGATATAGGATTTTTTTTTAATGGCAATATCTGGATAATTTGCTTGCAGGGGTTTATGAACACGAACACGACTGATTTACACGTAGCCTACAGATTATTTTTTTTAAATGAACTTTTTAGTGGGAAGTCTAAAAATAAAAATAAAATCTTATATGTAAGGGTGTAAGTCTATATACATATGTTGTATATACCATGTTTAAATGTGTGTTATGTATGTGTGCACTTTGAGATAGATAGATAGATAGATAGATAGATAGATAGATAGATAGATAGATAGATAGATAGATAGATAGATGGAGAGAGACAGACAGACAGATTGATTGATTGATCATAAACCTTTATTGTCATTTTTACTGTGGGCACAATGGCACACCTTAAAAATGAAGTTCAGTTGCTTGCTCTCAAAGCGTACACATACATAACACCCATTAAAAATATACTATATACAACATATGTATAGACCTACACCCTTACATATAAGTAACCTATAAATATTATTCACTGTCCCTCTTGAATACATAAGTTTGCTTACCCAGCTTTCCATGGGTTCAGTAATTGAGTCTTGAACTGGCCTCTTTCAGTCTGAAATTCTGTAAGATCTGCTGTAATATTGAACAAGTTGAACCCAGTGGCTGACCCTATATAAAGCAGTGTTCCCTATTCCCGTTCTAGAACATGTAAGCTTTCTCCCTGTGAGGAATTTACAATTTTTGAGAAAGTCAGACACCCATATCACGCTAATCCCTTTAAGGGTAAGTAAAACTATGCCCCGCTCAGCATGTGCATCCAGACTAATGGATGTTGGTAACGGCCCGTTGATTTGAAAGGTGGTGTCTAATCCGTCTACAATAATGTGAGTTTGCTCTGGAGAAAACTGGGTGTAGTGTGTGCCTAAACCGATTGGCATTGTGTCTTTCTTTTTTTTATCCTCAGCAAGGGATGCTGCATGTGGCATGGGTACAACTACAGCTTGTAACCTAACCCACGCTTCACCTTTCCTTACTAAAAAGTATTACGCAGTGAATACCCTGTGCAGGCTTTGGGATTGTTTTTGAACACCTGGTTTTTGCCTTTGAAAGGAAGAGAAATCGTGGTTGGAGGGCATAAGACCCCTGGGCAAAGGGGGAGGGCTCTGTCCCTCATTTTGCAGAGGTGGAGAAGAGAGGAAAGACTGCGAGGAAGCAGTGAAGAGTAAAATTCAGGAGCTGGGAAAAAGATTTACAAAGAGTAGGATATGATTATTCACCTCTCCATGCAACTGCTCCAGGAGAGAGCGTGCAACCTAGATAGAAGTGAAACTAATTGAGGAAAGGACAGGACTTTGTATCTGATCAGGAATGAAAGTGGGTGTTCTAGAAAGAAATTCTGCCTTGTTTTTAAAAGTGCCATTGTTAGAAAATGGTGAAAAAAGTAAGGTTGTATGCTTAGGCAAGAAAAACCAAATGCACAGGTGGAGTATAGGTGGTACTTTGCTCAATAGTAGCAACTGTGAGAGGGATCTCGGGGTCCTAGTGGACAATCACTTAAATAGGAGCAGCTGCCAAAAAAGCCAACACAGTGCTAGGCTGCATGAACAGAGGGACAGAATCAAAATCACGTGAAGTGTTAATACCACTTCACAATGCCTTGGTAAGGCCACACTTGGAATACTGCATCCAATTTTGGTCACCACGATGTAAAAAAGTTGTTGAGACTCTAGAAAGAGTAAAGAGAAAAGCAACAAAGATGATTAGGGGACTGGAGGCTTACACATATAAGGAAAGGTTGCTGGAATTGGGTATGTCTAGTTTAACAAAGAGAAGGACGAGGGGGGGCATGATAGCAGTGTTCCAATATCTCAGGGGCTGCCACAAAGAAGAGGGAGTCAAGCTATTCTCCAAAGCGCCTGAAGGCAGGACAAGAAGCAATGGATGGAAACCAACCAAAGAGAGAAGCAACCTAGAACTAAGGAGAAACTTCCTGACAGTGAGAACAATTAACCAGTGGAACAACCTGCCTCCAGAAGCGGTGAATGCTCCAACACTGGAAGTTTTTAAGAAGAGACTGGACAGCCATTTGTCTGAAATGGTATAGGGTTTCCTGCCTGAGCAGGGAGTTGGACTTGATGACCTCCAAAGTCGCTTCCAACATTGTTGTTCTTCTTCTTATATATAATAGGTTACAGAAACTAAACGGCACAGCCAGGAACTGAAGAATTTGGGCACTGATGCTCCATTGCACCAATGTGATTATTGACTTGGATCTGTTTATTATCAATGCCAAAAATTAACATAGAGATTTTTTTTTAATTTTTTTTTTTGCAGCTGGGTTGAGAACTTTGGACAGGAAGGGCTCGGATTATTATTGGACATCTTGGAAAAACTGGTGGAAAGCAAGCAGTAAGTCTTCTAACAAGTCTGTAGTTCTCAGAAAGAAAGAACGGACAGTAAACCAGCCTGATATATTTTTTGTCTCTTTATCTTCTGTTCAGACAGGACAAACTTCTCAAGAAGATACAGCATAAGATAATTCAGTGCTTAAAAGCTTTCATGAACAACAAGGTCAGTAACGCTCATCTGCTTAGTTGAAGTTGAAGTTTGCAATAGTGGCGAATATGAACACACACAGGCAGTGCTTGACTTTCTTTTTTTTTTTTTTTAAAGAAAATTTTATTAATTTTTATAATTGAACATTAAGTAATATGATGCATTTATAACACAAACATACACAAAAAAACCCCAATCCAATTCAATACATTATCAGAAACGCTCAGAGGTTCCCGACCTGCCTCCGCCCTCATCCACTTACCTTTCCTTCCTACCTCTAACCCACAACCTTTCCTCCTTCCCCTTCTACATCCCCCCTCTTCCTGACCACCTCAACGAGTGCAAGCCGGGATACCAACCGAGCGCTTCCTCTTATCAATACAATTATAACATATGAATACATCACTTTTTGTTTCAATACTTCTAACCCCCTTCCCCCCCTGAGCTTCCCGGAATCAAATACAGGACTTAAAACAAATCTTTCCAAATC